ATGTTTTTATTTGCTAGAATATTAACACACTTTAATACAATTTGGTCTTTGAATATACGTTTAATTGGATTGAAATTTATATTATAAAGGCTTTGTATTATTTATAAATCAATTTTATATCGTTATTATAGTTGTTAAATTAAATTAGATTTTATATTTTTTTATTAGTGACAAGGGGACGACGAAATAATGAACTAAAAAAATCATTAAAATTTTTAAAATGAATAAAATAAAATGATTTGGCGATGGTTTAAAACCGTCGTTAAATGCATCTCTAACTTTGGCCATAATTAACTATTGTTTAGAAAAAATTATTGCTAAATAGTCATAGATTTCTCGATGGATTATAAAAATCATCGCTAAATTGGCAACCAATTCTAATTATTTAGTGATGGTTTTTTTTTGGAATTAAAGATGATTTATTCGTCACTAAAATAGCGATAAAATAAAAAAAACCATCGCTAGTTAATTAAAGAGAAGATTTTTAATTAAAATCGGTGATGGATTTTTTTTAACATTTAGTGACGAGTTTAAATCATCGCTAAATAATTTATTTTTTTTGTTATGGCTAACATATCATGCATTAGGACGACATATCATCCGTATTAACCATTACTATATATATCTTCTTTCTCACTTTGTTCTATATGTCTTCTTTCTCCTTTGTTCTTGATAGTAAACTCTTGATTCGATTAATTTAGTTGATTTAATAGTATCTCAAGCCGACATATCGTGACATTAGGACGATATATATCTCGCATGTATTAACCATTACTCTATATATATATATAATTTTTTTGTAAAAAAAATAAAATACTTAAATCAAAACAATTAAGCGTTTAAGTTAATGGTCAATGCTTTGACCATAAAAAATAATTAAAGAGAACACAATTTTTCTAGAAAATAATAATTTAGGGTCAAAATAACCTAAATTGATAATAAATACCGTAAATTGACATAGTCACAATAGTTTGAGGATAATTTTTGTCATTAAAAAAAGATAAATAATTAAATGATGTTGTCTAAACATTTAAGTTAATCATCAACGCTTTTGTTAGAGACTAGTATAAATTATATTGTAGGACCTCACCTATTAGCTTAAGCTTTTAGGTGAGATGGTCCTTTAATATGGTATCAAATCTTGATTGACCTTGAGGTCTTGAGTTCAAGTCTCACCATCTTCAATTTCTCAAGTATTAAGCGCAAGATAATGTAGATCCGCACAAGTTTCATGCCCCAAATGTTGGGCCTTTCACTTGAGGGGGTGTGTTAGAGACTAGTACAAATTATATTGTAGAACTTACCTATCGACTTAAGCTTTTAGGTGAGATGGTCTTTTAATAGCTTTGATTGTAAAAATAACCGAAGAATGATAACACTTGCTCAAAAATAATAATTTGGGATTTAAATCATCCAAATGGATAATAAAAATTTTAAATTACAATAACCCTAACAATTTGAAGTAATTTTTGCCATTAAACCATCCTAGTTCCATGCTAAGCCTTGTTTGTGTAGGTTTTGGTTAGATAAGGTCAATGAGACACTAATGGGTGGAACCATGGTATCTACTCGTATATCCTTGTTTCTTAAACTATTTCTATTATAGCCGAACCGTAGTTATTTAACTATTTATAATTATAAAACAAAAGTGAGTATCTTGAATGCATTATAAATTGACATTTCACACATCTTGTATTTGCTAACACGTGACAAGTTTAATTTTCAACTTTTCAATTCTTGCTAAGTGGATTTAACACGGTGATATACGCATTGTTGAATGTTATCATCGTAAAAATTAAAATAAAGTTACATATCATGGATTAAATGAGGATTTTGTGAATAATAATCGTAAGTCTCTTAGAGTTCTATATTTATTATGGTAACGATTTGAGGCTTAAAAATAAATATAAAGTACGCGAATCTATTTGTACTTTTATAAGGCTATATATGAAAAGTTTAATCTACAAACTTCTCTTCCTTTTTTTCCAAATGCATTTTTGTGTAAAAAAAAAAAAAAAGGGAAGAAATTGGGGCATCTTTCTCTTTAAAGCATCCTATCCTCTTCTCTCGACCCTATAATCTCCTCGAGTTGATTTTTAAATTAGTTCATGAATCAATCAATGTTGTTGCGATATTTAAAAAGAATAGAGATAAAATTACGATTGATGAAATATGTATATAATTAGTAATAATATTGCAATCGTACAATATTTATATTTGCGATTGAAGATGTTGTGGTCGATTCATCTTTTGTATTGTCGTCTAGAATGGCTTTGGTGTCTCGATCTTATGTTGTTTACTTGGATTTCTCGAAGGAAAAAAAAAAAAAAAGTCAAAACCTTAGAAAGTAAAGCTTGGTTTGATTTTCTAGAATTAGTGGAAAATCCTATAAAGACGTTTTATTTCCATAAAAATGAATTGAAACAAGTAGGCTTTGAAAATCGGGGTTAAAATTTTATGAAATGAATCGAATTTGTTCATTGAGCTTGAAAAATTGATATTGGAGTGTTTGAGAGTACCGAAAACGATGTTTTTGAAGCTGATTACGGGTTTAGTAGAGTTTGAAGAAATAAAATTTAAAAGGATAGAAGTATTAAACCAAATAAATGCGAGCATTCTAAATTACATATGAAAATCCCTACAAATTAAGTGAATTAATCATTTAAAGTTGTTAATTTATAAAAAACATCTAATGCATTTAAATTACGCCATTCTAAACTATGAAAAGCTCCACAATGCGGTGATTTAACCGCTAACTAAGAAATATTATAATTATAACGTCTAAGTTGTATGAGTTGCAAAATCACACCATTAAATAGGTTTTTTCTTCCATGCCTTGAATTAAATATCTTTATTTTCTAAAAGGAAAATGCTTAGTGACACCATGACGATGACAAACATCATTTTTAAAAATAGAAAGAGTTTGAGGATAAATTTGAAAAGTGAAAAATTAAATGACATAATAATCATTGAAAGAAAGCATCATTCTTTGTATTGCTTCAAAAAAATATTACCCTTATAAAATTATGATAATTCTTTTTTTTACATCACTAATGTCATGTAGCACTTGCTATTTCAAAAATTGAATAACCTAAATAGAAATATTTTCCTTACTTTCCTTGTGATAAAAAAAAAAAGTGAAGTAATCATTACTCCAAATCAATGTAGCAGTTACCAACGTTCTTTTCCACGTGATTATAACTTAGTTTCGGTATTCAAAAACTTATAAATTCATCCTAGCTTGACTTTGGTTGACCACCCTCATCCGAAAAGTTAAATTTGATTCTTAGGACTCAATTTGTAATTATTTCTCCTTTCTATATCTTCTTCTTCATGACTTTTCTGTCATTTTTGCTTTTTCAATATCCATATATCTCTCACTTTGAGCTATATCATTGAAAAAGGTAATGAGCTTCTAAACATTAGGACTATCCTAATTTTTTGTATTTTACTGCTGAATAAAACTAATTAGATTTGCTTAATTTTATTAGGTTTTTTTAAGCATGACAGTCTTGACTTATAATTTCATCAACATCTTACCACTGGGTTCTAAAAAAATTAATTAGATTTCCTTAATTTAATTAGGGCTCTTCAAGCATTATGATTTTTTTCCTTATAATTTAAGTACTTTCTGGGTTTTCTAAAATTAAATAGATTTGTTTAATTTAATCAGGTTTTTTTTTAATAATTCAAGATTTCTGACCGTTAGGCTGGAATATTTGTTTTAAAGACCACAATAACTAGGAATTCTTGTTGGCTTTTCCTTTCCAAATAATTTTTTTTTTCAATTTTTCAAAATTATTTGTACAATTGAGTACCTTAATCTTCAATGAATGCAGCCTTCGATATCTTTCCAGCTGAAAGCCTCATTAAAGCACAATCATCTCTAATTCCAGGCCAGTTGTCAGTTGTCACAACACAATCATCTGTACATAAGCTAAATGTATTTCAAGAGTGGTTTTAGTGATTCGAAAAACAGACAGTGTAGAGTGCCCTATAAAAGGTATTTTTGAAACTAAAATAATCAATTGAATGACAGCTAAGAACCATATTAATCAAGGATTCACTAATAATTAAACAGTTTAAGTTAAAAATATAGAATTAAAATAGGAGAGATAACATTAGGTTTTGGAATATTGAAAGATTAAATTGAAAATCAAGAGACGAAAGAATAATTTATTCAATAACCTAACCAATAAAAAAAGCATATTGTATTTACCAAAAACCAAAGTTGTTCTCCGTTTGCTATTTCGGGAATTAAGTGACCGGATATATCAAAAGAAAGTATTTGAGTAAGACATTTTGCAGGCTTGCTAGATTTTGATCTGCTCCTTCTGCTGCAATCTAACTATTGATTCCTCCATGCATCACGTGCTGCACAGCATTTTTATTTTCTAACTAAGTAACGATTCTTAAGAGGCTTTGCTGAGTGACGTGGATAGTTTTCCACATTATTATGTAGGATTTGATTTTAATTAATGATAAAGAATTTTTTTTTTAACCAATAGGCATTTGATTTAAAGGTAATGAATTTCTTCTCCTTGCGAAGTCTGTCATTAAATTAATTTTTTATATTATTCCGACAAACTATTTAGTGGTAATGAATTTTTTGTACTTGCAAAGTCTATCGTTATATATATACACGAATCTTCTCTTCTAAGTTCTATCTGCTAACTAATAATTATTAATGTTAATTTGATTGCGGACTAAAAAATTCGAAAATTGACTCTTTCTAAAAAAATAGCAAAGGATATACTATGGAGGGATAAATGCTGGTGTCTGTTTTGTTCCATGGGTTTTACGGGCATTCAAGTAATGTGTCCAGATGTGGGATGCGTCTCTATCTCGGTCAAACTAACAAAAAGTGCGAAACATTTTTTTTATTTGAATGGTTAATGACAACAAGCAAGAGCAAAGATTGTGTATATATAGCAAGCCATAGTTCTTGTAAGACTAGAGGGAAGCAACCAAATTCGAGAAAAGAGAAGATTAACAAGAAGATGGGGAGGTCTCCTTGTTGCGATGAGAATGGCCTAAAAAAAGGACCATGGACTCCTGAAGAAGATCAAAAGCTTGTTGAATACATCCAAAAACATGGCCATGGAAGTTGGAGAGCTCTCCCAAAGCTTGCAGGTCCAAATTATAATAGCTCTCTGTCTCATCACGCACAAATTAGTGCACATGCATACAAAAAAATTAAAGAAGAAAGAAATAGGTGTTCATTTGTTTTTCTGCTTGCAGGTCTTAATAGATGTGGCAAGAGCTGTAGGTTAAGGTGGACAAATTACTTGAAACCTGATATAAAGAGAGGCAAATTTTCTCAAGATGAAGAGCAAACAATTCTACATCTTCATTCAATCCTTGGAAACAAGTAATTCTATATATTATCTTCTGCTGCTTTGAATTAACAACGACGTTCTTTTAATTTCTTTAACTACCTGTAGTAATTATCATAAACACTTTCATGGCTTAATTTGTTCTTGCATTACCAGATGGTCAGCTATTGCTACCCACCTCCCAGGCAGGACGGACAATGAGATTAAGAATTTCTGGAACACTCATTTGAAGAAGAAGCTGATTCAAATGGGTTTTGATCCAATGACCCACCAACCAAGAACTGATCACTTCTTTGCCAGTTTGCCTCATCTCATGGCCCTCGCTAACCTGAGAGACCTAATGGAGCAGCATCCATTCGATGAACATGCCATGAGATTGCAGGAAGAAGCTGTCCATTTAGCGAAGCTTCAATATGTACAGTATTTTCTCCAATCAGCAGCTTCAATCCCCTCCACCAACTCTTACTGCCAAAATGGCATTACAGACATGGAAGTTCTCAATCTGTTGAATTCAATTCCTCCCATAAAAGAAAACCTAGTATTAAATTCATCAGAACTGGAGAATCAGGATCCGTATCACTTTGGAAATGCAACCTCTCAACTACTCCACCATCCAAGTGTATTGTCTCAATTGTCTGACCCACAAGTCCCTTTCAGTTATCAACCATCTTTGAATACTGAGATGGGCCAAGCTCCATTTTTAACTACAATGCTCAGCCAGGAAGATAATAACCCATCTGATTCTTCATGGGTGCTTCCTTCTCCTACTCCTGTTCCTCCAACTGTGACCGAGACTTCCATAACAAATCCAGGTGATGCTAGCAGCACAACTTCTAGCTATAGTGGAAGAACTTCTTCATATTGGCCTGAGCTTTTTTTGAAGATCCTATTATGCATGAGATTTCCTAGTTATACTGTCTGATGAGAGGTTTGGACTTATATTGCCATGTATTTTCAGATATTCTAGCCATCCCATCTTTTACACTACATCCCTATGTCCATGTTTAAGCACATGTATCACAGACAAGCATGCATTTGCATGTAGTCATGTGTACAACTTATGCATGGACACGATATTTTTATATATACGTATTGTGTAGATATTCTATATATATAGTGTGCTTGAGATTTTTTTTTTTAAAAAATTTGAATATAAGGGTGTGTTTCCATTTAATTTGCCAGTAGTTGATCAAAAAAAAAAAAAAAAAAAAGCTTTTGCCATCTCTCTTCCCCGCCTTAATTTTTTTTACTGAGATTGTCTTTTTTTTGTACTTTGTAATATCTTGTATTTTAATTATTTGTTCCAATTAATGATGAGAAGAATAGTTAATTAAGTTGGTTAGGTTGGTAAATAAGAAGTATTGGATATTTGTCTTTGGTCAGGAGAAGAGACAAGAAAATATTAATCCCTACAAGTCTAAAACACGTAGGGCCAATTGATAATCAAAAACAGCTGAAGAAAAAAAATATGTCCATCTTCATTCTTCATAAACGAAAAGAAAAAAAGGAATAACTCTAATTAATGAACTGCAAGTTCAACACCTTGACTGCAGAATTCATTTGCCTAGCTAGTTAGAACTATAAGTTATAATTAGCACAAAAGGAAAAGAAAAATTAAAGATTGGCCATAATCACTAACAACTCCGAACATGTTGCATACGGAGCATTTTTATCTATTTTTCAAAATAGCATAAATTCTCGATTAGATTCGCCATAATCACTAACAACTCCGACCATGTTGCATCGGTCTCGGTCTCTCTTAACTATGTCTGCTCCTCCCATGGCAATCAAATCATGCTATGCTGATTGTGGGCAAACCGTTAGAAATTTGTTGGTCTCAAATTCTTTCTTGCAGCCAATAATCACTAAAATGAACCTATTTCCGTATCTGTTCGCAGCCTTGCCTCCTAAAGTTTACCGAGCTTTTTCTTTTCTCTTTTAATGCATGCTAAAATTGCAGGTTTTTTTTTTTTTTTTGAAGCACATTACAATAGAAAAGAGATGTGGTTCCATTTGAATAATGCTTTTGAGTTATGTATAAAAGCGAGTTCTAAAGTGCATTCGAGCATAAAACAGCATAAGTTAATGTGTTTCAGTAAAAAAATAATATCAAATCGATGGTTTTCAACGTGAACATATTTTTATAAAACAATTATTGTATTGCCAAATATGTGCTTCATCTTTTCAAGTTGAATAGTGTAGAAGTAAAGGATTGCCACAGAAGCCTGTGATTTGGAGAGCGGGCATGGAGACAGCTCCCAAAAAACTACCATGGAAGATTGTCCAACAGAATGAAAATTTCTTCCTAAATGGAAAAAATAAATAAATAAATAAATAAATAAAAGCCAAGATTAATCTATTAGAAGCCACAGTGCTAATATGACAAGCAATAGTAATCAAACGAAAATATTAATCGAGAAATAGGTGAGGTAGATTTGAATTAATAAGCAAAGATCCCTAAAAATGCATGGATTAAGTTAAAAGAAAATTTGTGGAGGTACCAATTTCCTGGTTGAGTGGTTAGACTCGATTCCTTTTCCATCAAGAGATTGACCGCTACACCTTCGTATTAAACTCCACTTATCATAAATTAATTATTTTACCACGTGTCTTTATATAATGAAGCTAATAAATACAATTACACATGTCAATGAACCAATGGACTCTTTATTAATTTAATTACTTGAGTAAAGCTCAAATTAGGATTATTATAGGAACTGTTTCATGAAAGTCAAGTTGGTCATAATTGTCAAAGAAATGTAGAAAAAAAAAGAAAATGGTTTAGGTTTCTTCTCCTCCTCCCTTATATATATCGTATTTTAAGGATTGTAGTAAATTATCATCACCTAACCCTACCCCATTTGTTGGATACTCCTCGAAGTTTCTTATGTCATGACCAATATTTTCGCATATAATTTTATGGATGCTGTAGACAATGTGATGGTTGATACATTGAAAGCCCATCCTTATAATATATATTTGGTAGCAACGACATGGAAATGATGGCTACGAGTGGAAACATCAAGAAAAAGATGTTTTTGTATTGCGTCAAAGATTCTGCAGTTAATCATAATATACAGATGCAATTTATTAATCAAGTTTGTGATTCATCTCTATATATGACCAAGTATGCAACGGTAGCTGGATGTGATTTTATAAAATCAGTTCATTATTTTTCATTAATATGTGTTTATAATATTTTTGCTTCGTATGTATTCTGCTATTTTCTATAGCTTCATACAGGTTTTCAAGCTGGCTGTGCGCAATTTACACAAGCTATCATCAATGCACAGAACTTTTATTTTGTTCTTTTGCCAAATGGATTTTGGATAGGTTATACCCCTTACCACGGCTGCTTCTTAATCTTGGATATATTTCTTTTTAAACAAAGGGCCAACTGAGCCCAGAATACAACTGCATCTTGGGATATTCCTCAGGTATTGGCCTTTTGTTAGGAAACAGTGCCACCACGTCAAGACCAAGTTTATAAAGAATGGCCTAGCCCAACAAGACAACAGTTCATCTTTTGTTAGTCTCTCTCGACTCTTTGTTGTTGTGTTCGGTAACAGGACGAGATGCAGTTGCTTTTCGTCTCCTTTTCTGGAGTTCAAAAGATTCTAACTGTCACTTGTCTTCTTTAGAAAGTAACTAACGAAATTCTCACTCCCACTCTTCGTTAATCAAGTGTGTGATAATTTATTTCTCCCACTTTGCATATGATTCGTCCAAGAAGCTGCCAAATAATTCTTTGCGGGCAGAACAAAATTGTTCCAATTTCGTTTGACTCGGAGTCTCCCCATCTTTGACTCAGCTTCATTATAATCGTGGCTCTCACAGTCGTTGCTCGCGACTCTGTTTCGATCAAATTCCTCTGCCTTTGGTTTACTTTTCAGCGTTTTTTTTTTGTTATAAACTGATAAATTCGAACTTAAATCATTTATGGGATCAAATATTGTTAGTGGGTTAATATAAAATCATCATCAAATGGTTTAAGTTGTAATATCAAATGGCCACAGATTAGAATTCGATATCATTTTCTTTTAATTAAATTTAAAAAAAAATTACAAGATAAAGGAGGTTTGGTATAAATTTTAATTTCAAAAAGATTTCGTGTAAAAGGATGTATTAATAAGTTATTATAAATTTATTGTTGAAACTTCACCTCATAGGTTAAATTTTTAAATTAAATTGATCTTTTGATATAACAAAGAACCTGAAATTTTTTTATTTTTTAATAAGAAAAGGCATCGTAGAAAAAAGCCAAGTATGCTTTAATAATGTAGTATTTGGTACAATTGTAGTAGAGTTTTGCTCATAGTGCGTCTACTCTTGAATTATTTTAATTAAAACCTTTTTTTTCCTGTTTCGATTGAGTCTTTTTTATTTTTATTTTATTTTCTTTTCTTTTCATATTCTGTTTTATAATGCCATTAGATATGACCTAACGTGGTGTTTATATAACACACCTTTTAAAATTATGACATGTGTTATACGTAAACTTTAATATAAAAACTCAATTAAAAAAATTAAAAAAATAAGAAATTTCAATCAAATAATTTTAAAAGAGCAGGGATCAAATTATTTTTTATTTTTTTAATTCTTAAATTATTTTTTAAAATCTCATAATAAATGCATAAAATGTGTCATGTAAGATTTCATTACAATAAAACTCTGAATTTTTTTTTTAATGTTGTTATAATAAGTTAAAAATAATATGTAAAAAAAGGGGAAAAAAAGCCTGACATGCAATCATTAAAACAAAAATTGATGTGCAATATCGATTAGTCACATATCCTATTTAATGGATCTAATCCTCCCTAAAAAGTAAGAAATTTTGAAATATTTTACCATTTGAAATTGAAAAATGAAACTGCTCTCTCAAAAATACTTAAGGCTGCACCATATTTTTTTAATATAAATAATTAACTACCAGACAGCACTATTATTGTTTTTATTTTAATTTGTAATTTATTTTTTAAAATTACATGTTATGTTTGTTTTGTATACATTTTATTATTTTAAAATTATTATAATATTTTTAAAAAATATTCTTCATAGTTTTATTGTGATGAGATTTCACATAAGAAATTTTTCTTAACATTCAATATGAGGTTCTAAAAACATAATAATAATAATTTGATCCATGCACTATTTGAATTGTTTTGATTGAAATTTTATATTTTTTAAATTGCTTTGATTAGATTTTTCTATTCGCGTATAATGGTATCATGTTTTATGGAGATGACACGTCATGTCGGTGTTATTTTTTTCACAACTAATGATATTACACAAGAAGGATTAAAAAAAAAAAAACTCAATTAATATAATAAAAAAATAGAATTTCAATCAAAATAATTAAAAAAAAAAACTCGTATATGAACAAAACCCATTGTAAAACCATACCCAACTTTCTAAAACAAAACATACTATATAGGGATTTTTTGTTCCATAGAAGGTCTAACGGGCATTTGGTTGCCCAATAAACGATAACTGTTCCAAAATCCGAAATACTCAAGCAAACCTTTCCAGTGGTAGGGTTCAAACTTGAACTTCCATGAGAAAATTTGTTGGTCTCAAATGTGTCACTGGAAATTGTAATACAATATAATTTGTTGGGAATAACAATTTGAATTTGTCCATATTTATTGGTTACTCTTTTCGACCACACGCAGCTATCATATCCAACAGGGGTGATATGGGTTGGGGCCCATAATTCAAATCTATTAGGCTATGAAACGAGCACATGATAAGGTTACTTGGTGTCCATATCCTCATGCATACCATGATGTTTTGCATTTGATGATCATTGAGATGTCTTACTAAATTTTTAACACGCTACATTACGAATTGTATAAAATATATAAAATTATTTAAAAAAATTATTTCAATTTGATAATCTGTTATCCGATATGAATCTATAAAAATATATGAAATCAAAGGTAAAAAAAATATTTATAATTTTTTAATCAAAAATTTTGTATTTAACTATTTCTTATTTGTATTTTTCATAATTTTTTCTAGAAAAAATATTTATCCCTATTAATCTAAGGATTATTAACTAAAAAAGAAATTAAACAAATTTTTTAGAAAAGCTTCAGACATTTCATGAAATTGTATTGAAAAACAAAAATAACAATTATTAAAAGCTTACATAGAATTGAATAAATAATTTTTTTATTTTGATTTAATGTTGATGAGAATATCAATTTATGAAAAAAATAATAAATTTAATTGTTATATATTTATTTACAAAAGAATGAATAATATTAAAATAAATCAAAACTATCGGTAAATATAATTTTAAATTAATTGGATGAGAATTTAAAAAAATAAAAAATTAAAGTAGTAAATTTTAAATAATAAAAATAATTTTAAAAAAAATACTAAAACAAAACAGGACCAAATCACAATACAATTAAAGTTTGAAATTGAAAAAAAAAAGCATAGAAAAATCGAGGACTATATAATTTTAAATTAATTGGATGAGAATTTAAAAAAAATTCAAGCATAATTTTCAAATTATGCCATTAAAGCAAGTCATCTTGATTATGCTTGGTGAATTTATTTCTCAAGCATTAAATTATTATTAATTGGCTATCGAATAAAAGTTGAATAGCATGTTGCTCATGTTCATACTCGGTAAGGTTTAGCAAAATTATTTATCAAAAGGGTCCAATTGATAGCTAAATCATTATTTAAAAATAAAACTCGTTGTTTATATTGGAAGACATGCAATCTTAGATCCAGCAACACTTATTCGCATCGGACCAATAAGTTATTAGAAATTCTCTCCTCATCAATTCATTTATAGTCACGAGCTAAATATTTTTTATTTAAGAATTTTTGACATTGCGAGTATATATCCATAGTACTCCTCCATAACGAAATAAAATGGGCACTCAAAGGAGATTGAGAATATATATTGGATTTGAATCCTCTTCGATCACTTGATTCATGAACAAGAGGTATTTTTACGGCTCGATTTATCGACTCGTCATTTTGATGAAGCAATTTTTCCAACATTAAGGAGAGAGAATAAGAAAAATAAGCGAGTTGGAAATATTAAGAAAAAAAAAGATTTCATGGAGTGCTCTATCTTTATATCATATTGAATCTCGTACAAAACAATATGAACCAAAAATTCAAAAGATAATTCATTTACAAGTTATTACAAATCAAGCTGCTAGATGCATTCTCGGATCCTAAATAAGTAACTATAATGTATGTCCCCGCTGAGAGTGCTCATATTAAAATTGATGCTCTAAAAGGACGATCTATTAATGTTATAGGCAATGAATCTAAAACACGCACGAAACGTGGTAGACCGATCGGTTCTAAAGACAAAAATCCCTACAAGAAAAGGATAAGATGAAAATATTCACAAAATGGTCCAAAATATTTCGATAATGTAGCGTCCTTAACCTAATTCCTTACAAAAACTTCGTATAACTTAACCATTTTAGTTCTAGAAAACTCAATTAATCACAAAATATCACTCAGGATCATTAAAACCTCATATTAGAAAGATTAGATTTTTTTTTTATTATTCAACTAATCAACAACATTCCTTCCACTTATAACCCTTGGATATTCAATCAAAACCACTTTTTCTTTGCTCATAAACACGTCTCAAAACACCTCCAGGAGTTCATATTTACATAGTTACATATACAATTCAAAACTCTCCTAGGATGCATATGCTCGGCATAATGAGAGAGAGGAGAGGGAGATCGCCAGTCGACTCGTTACTCATATCGTGAAATGAGCGAGCAAAACAAGCTCTAAGCTTCTTAACTTCTTGTACCTAAAAAGTAATTGCATTTTAATGAGATGCTACTCAATGAGAGAACAATAATTCATTGAAACCATAACATGCAATCACATCATCCGGTATCATCACATATAAACAATACATGGAGTTCATATAACTCTAAGATTACATGCTTTCCTTTTTCTTATCGGTTATGACTTGGACATGTCAAGTTCCGCCCGGGTACTTGTAACTTGTAAACTTGTACACATGTATTGCTTGGCCGGCTTTTATAACTTGTAATTGACCCATTGGGTCCTTGTAAACTTGTATTTACGAAACTTGGACAAGCCAGTCATAACCTTAACCTCTTAGCCTTGCATATATCATGAATGTTTCACATATAGCATATACAACATCCATGGCTTACATCATGGTACATATCCATTATAACATCAATAAACATAACGTTTGCGTCAACTAGCAAACGACACATCATTCACATCATGATATCAATATCAATACACATAACATCAATAAACACAACGTTTGCATCAACTAGCAAACGACACATCATTCACATCATAGAAATATAATATTAGCACTCAATAGCAATAACACATCACGGCACAACGATTATTATTCAACTCA